TAGTCTGGATCAATTAAATCTACAGATAATCTGAAAACCTCCTGTATGCCATTAGTGTCAATCTGTTTCCCCACCAAATCTTTTACCAGAGCTGCTAAGAAGCAGTAAAATTATTTTGAGTTTTCCTGATCTCCTATTCCTGACCCTGTCAACCATCTGGTGGAGGCGCTAATGAGCAGGGAGATGGCCAAAGGGCAGGCAACAGGAGAGATGAAAAAAAAAATGGAAGAAACTGGATAATCCACAAACTAAATAATCAGTCCCCGGATAATTGAGCTAGTTGCAGCAATAAAGCTTTTTTTAAAAAAATGTTTTACAACCATAAAGTACTTTACAAGTATTAGTTATCCACAGGATGTTCTTGCTCAATAGAGCAATATGATTTTTCCCTATTAAATATGAAGAAAGGAAAAGATGGGTAAATTAATTGCTTTATCCAAATGCATTTAGTTGTTCATATTTTTTTTTAGTTCTAATTTTGAATATGGCCATTTTAAACTTTGTGAAATATTATTTGGTAGACAAAATGGTGATTATCAAATTTTTAATTCATCTTCAAAAGAAGCTTTAATTTCTTAATTCATTATCCACGTTTAGTCATAGAGATTTAAAATGGAGGTGTGAATGGAGATACAATAAAGTCTTAAAATGAAATTTTACTATCCTTAAACATAGCACAATTATTCTTCTCACTCTTGGAAAAGATATTCACTACTACCTTTCAAATACTCAAAGCTACTATGCAAATTTTGAATACTATTTACCTGACAACAGCTAATAAACTCTAAAATGCTAGTAATTGTCAGCAAAGAGAAAAATAAATAAATCCTTTTGCCAGATTTGTGTAGCGATGATGACATTGTTAAACAAACAGGGACACGTACTTCTCTGAAAGCAATTTGCTATCCAGCCACCAGTGGCAAAAATAAAACAAAACAAAATCTACCAGCCACCACATATTCGAACAAAATTATGGTTTTTAGAGACCACATAATTATTGTGGCAATATGACATCCCTTCCAAGCAGTTCTTGATGTGGTCTTTCCTTCATGAAATTCAATTGTTAGATATCACTCAGCCATTGTCAAATGAATTGGAATACAACAGATGAATAGTTTAACGAGCCAGGATGCTGTTCATTTTTAAAAGTTTTTCAAAACATGAAAAATAAGCATTTTAATGTTAAAATTTCTTAAACAGATAAACTTTTACACAGGTGCAATGAAAGCTAAATTAAATTCTTGCATCCTAAGTAGAACTTGTGTTTGCTTGTTTAATATCCTAGTTCTAGTGACTGATTTAGTGCATATATTAGCAGATCATTTAAAAAAACAAACACACACACACACACACTCTTAAAGACGCCACCCCTATAGGATTAGAGTTGGGTTTTCAAAGTATTGTTTCATCACTAATCTTTGTAAAAGGGAAGGCTGAATACAAAAGGCTACTTTCACTATTCTATACAGATCATATGCATTAGGGAACTGGTACTTTAATCACTGTATGGCTTATTTAGAAAGCCTTATGCTTCAAAGAGAACTCTACTTTTTCAAATATATTTTTGTTAAGTTTCCAGTGGGAAAAATGGCTTCATCTTTACACATTATACTACCATGCTTGCTTCTCTTTATATTAAAGTTGTTTCTTCACTTGTGGATCTGCTACAACGCTACATCACCTGCAAGAAGTACCTTTGGATAGCCCTTTCTGAAGGCTAGAGTTATATCTGAGTTTAAATAATGTGGGTGTTAGATCAGAAAATGCTAGAAAAGAAAGAAAAGGTAACAAACATCTGGGGGGAAAAACAGTAGAAATAAAGACCTAGATACACTTTTAAGGCTTCAACCTCAAAATCAAGTTTTAAGTTTCTCCAATAAATTGAAGCTTGAGTCCTTTAGGAGAAGAACCACATTGGTGACATTTTCAGGACTTTTCAATCTAACTAGTTTGTAATGGATTTCATTATAATTCCTTATACAGTCCCCCGTACCCTGCCCCCTCCCAATATTTCAGTCAAGTGTCTGGATTTCTGCAAAATGGGAAAAACAAAAACTCTTTGTTGCCTTATCAAGAAACCTCACAACTTTAACTACTACATAAAATTACATCACCTTCCTGTATCACAAGCTCTCAAACGAAAGAACGACAACTGACCACGACAAAGAGATGCTTGCTAATAAAAGTAATGGAAATGCATATTTTTAAATTGACGTACAGTACACGCCCATTCACTAAATAAAGGAAGAAGCAGTGGCTTGGGGAAGCAGCTGGGGTTTGTTAGTAACTTTGTAGTGACTGAAGTTAAGCTTCAGGCTATAGTCCTTTTGGGTCAGTTTCTGGGTCAACCTTAGTATCCAGTACAGTGCTACTTTCTTCCCATGAAAAACCACTAAATTCTAATTGAGGAGCATTTTCCCTCTATTGCTAATTTTCTTTCCCTTTAAAAAAAGAAAGAAAGATAAAGCTCTTTACAAAACATTGAAAAGCACCTCTTATTTCCATGAATTCATTGTCTATTGCCTGTTTTTCAGTTTAAAACACAGGTTGT